ATTTCTAAGATATTTTACTTTAATAAATATGTCTACACACACAGTCAAATAGGAAAATAGTTTTATATATTTATTATTTCGATGTATTGAGAGATTTAATAAATAGCTGTGCATTCTTCAAGTCAAATATAGAAGTATTGAAATGCTTTTTTTTTATTAGTTATTTCTTCATATGTTAATTTACTACCATTAACAGTTGAATTATTAACAAGAAGTATGTGCTATTGGTACTAATCTAGACTGAATATTTCAATATGTTACTTGGTGCAAAATGCATCTTGATAAAAGTTAAGTGGGCTCATTAATTTTACTATTGCGTATTTGCAATGCTCTATTGAATAAAAATAGAAATGTGCAAAAGTCGTAGAATCTAGTAAAGATAAGATAATTAGTCACATTACAAATATTCTATACTAAACATCATGAAAATTTAATGGGTTACATAAAAAAATCAGTGATGCTTATATTCTCTATATAATGTCAAACTATACTCTATAACATAAGATTTCATTGAGTTTATTATATGACATTTATTGTTCTATCAACTGAATATGTGACACTTCTTTCAAAATTAAATACCATGAAAATAAGTTATCGATAAGACAATAGAAGAATAAAAATGAAAATTGTCATATATAAAGATTCAAAAATTCTTCTCAATTGGAGAGAAGATATTTTATTTTAATTATAATTATCATTCATTATGAACATTTTCGTAATAAACTTGAACAAAACAAGTTTATAATCATTGTATACAGATCAGCACTTAAGAAAATACGTGACATCAGAGAGAATCGAACTGGTACTAACGAAGGAGATGACCTATTATTTAAAAGTCAGAGACATTTTTACTGAGTAATTCACATTCCTACAGTATAATATTGTCAAGAAAGTGAAATAAATGAATTTTAATCAGAGATTTTCTCTACCATTATGAGAGTTTCGTGATATTTTCAAGAAAAATAAGTGTCTCATTCTCGAGATATTGAGGTTAGAAGCATGATCACTTCTTTACAGAAATGATAGACTTGTTTAATGTAATTATAAATTCAATGCATGAAAAAGGTCATATCCTATTCTCTTGAAAATGTCAAGAAACTCTAATCATAACTTAATTTATTAGTAGATTAAATCTTAGATTAAAATTCATTTATTCGAGAATCTTGATTATCTCATGATGTATGAAATCTAATTCTCAATAAAAACGTTCCTAACTTTTGAACACTAGGTCAGACACACGAACTCTATTGACCTTTCCTTAGTCTTATCGAATTACATTTTACAGGCTAAATATGAACTTAAAAGCAAGAAATCAGTTTTAGTTTAGTTTATTATTCTCTCATTTTTCGATATAGGATGAACACAAAGAAAATATAATGAAGGAAAAAAAAAGAATAAAGCACGAGAAATAATGTAAAAGGATGCCAAATTAATCGTTTGCTGAGTGTTCAGTTCGTTCATCGCAAAGACCTAATATTAAAGCATATTATTCGAGTGCGATCAATAACAGACCTAGTTTCGGTCGTGTCCATCAAGAATCGGGACTGGCTCGAGGTAAGAAGAGAAAATCAGTTACGATATTTCTCTTGCAAGAGGATACAAAATAACATTACCTCGAAAAACATTAAAACATATGTGCAAATCACAAAATGTTTAGATATCTGGTAGAACATAATTATCTCAAGACTTAAAAACTGTTATGTAGAGAAAGCATCACAATAATAATCTGTAGAATAGTTTGGATATAAACATATATTAATGTAAGTTTATTATTGTCGAAATATCATCAACAACAAACACAAGATCATTCAAATTATTTGAGGAATAACTTTCTTCAACAGTGAAAGACTATACCAACATGATTCTCACATTTATTAAAATACCTGGCTAAGTTATTTGAGAAATAAAAAGTATGTATTATAGAAGATCCTTTTATTAATTATCAAATAGACACAATTTATTATGATTTCTATTGAATACTCATGAGAGAAAAAAACATGATAGAACATAATTTAAATAAGTTTAACAAAGTTAAGATTTTATGTAAAATGTATTTAAATAAGTAAAACTGAAGAAACATTCATCATACATCCATGTTGATTGATTTATTCTTATTCAAAATTAGTATTATTAGAAAGGCAGTAGGACTTACATAATAAATATAGGATAGATGCTGCTTTTTATATTGCTTTTGTTTTTATATATAAAGTCATAGCTTTTGAAGAGATCAAGATATATTAGAAATTTAATGGAAATTTCTGGAATTTGCTAAGGCATGATGAGAAGCGAATTTGGCAAGAATTTTCTATAATTACTCGGACACTACAAAAATTACAGAAATTTCTTTAATTCCCCTGTTTTCTCAATTAATACCAAAAATTCTTATGGTTCTTGGATAGAATTCTCTATTTTTACACATTTAGTTCTTAATCTATATACATCAAAAGGCAAAAGGAATTATGAAAATTTCCATAATTTTCTGATAATTACCGAAAAATTCCTTCAAAAATTGGCTTGAAACTTCTTTTTCATGTTACAGTTTTCTTCAAAACTCCGTGAATAATTTATTCTAATGTAATAATAATTATCATTACATACCTGATATTCATTACTTGGTTCTTATTATTTTTCATAATTTCTCAATTTTCATGTTTTGGTAAATTTCTGTGATATTTTGTCTATGGATAGTTCCGTATACTTTGCAAGAATTTTTAGTAAAGATGTAATCGTCACGAAATCTTTTTCCTCTCAATAATTACTTTTGGATGTATATTGATATCTTGATTTCAGAATGTTAGCAAAAGAACTGATTTATCTTGAATAAAGATAAAATTTATCGTCATGATCATGTTTTAGTAAAACCAAGAAAAAAAAACAAAGATTCTTTTTGGATCATCTTTTGTTTTTCCAAAACTGTAATCTTAGACTAATGAGATTACGATTTCAACCGAAGATTTGTAGTAATAAACTATAACACAAATTGACTTCATGGAGCATTGAGAAAATACTTAATATTATGAATAAAAGTGAAAAATATTTTTAAAAACTCTTTGTTTTTTGAAACTTTATTAATGAAAAGTTGAAAATTTTTCAACAGCAAGCCTATTCATTTTTTTTTCTAATGATTCTATATTTCATGGTGCAATGCAACATTTATTGAAGACTTCATTAGGAATATCACGCATTTAAAAAAAAACCAAATAAAATAAGTCTTTCATTATGATGTTCTTTGATTTTGAGAAAAGATTAGTATGACTGATGTAACGTATTGTTTCTATTCAGCTTACTTTCTTGTTGTTTTTTTTCTAAACTTTGCGAAGTTTTACTTCATTCAGACAAACAAGCTACTTGAATTAATAATATATTGTAAAAACTTCTTAGAAAAGGTCTTGATGATATTTATTTTCAAATTGACAGAAAAGGATTTAATCTGATAAATAAATACAATGTTGAATAATTTATCTTTGTATCTTACATAGGTAAATCATTAGAAGGAATACTTTACGATAATCTCTATATGTAGCTGTTCGGTAGTTAATAAAAACTTTATAATAATTAATGCTACAACATCAAAATGTAAACTTGAATTCTTTCATTCGAATAGAATTATATTTAACAAAACAACACGCACAATTACTTTTGAAGTCAAGCTTTTCTAGCCTAACAATGAAAATTTTTTCATATATACATTCATTTTATTTTAAAGCTTCTGCAATGTACTCGAAACTAAAGAGATTGATAATAGTCAGTTACAAAACTTATTTAAATCTGTAAATTGCAATATTTGAGATAAAAGAAAGATTCAGACCATTCCATAAAGAAATACCTGAGTACAGACTTCCAAACAAGTTATAAAATTCTATAATAATAGAATCCTGATGCTGTAGAAAATCACATGAAATAATTTCTATAGATAATGAGATGTCATAAAAAAACATTCATAGATTTATCTTTATTAGCAGACGACCAATCCAGAAGAAAGAGGTGTTCAGTTTTCTTTTTTAGAAAGAATTTCTTTTCTTTCTTATATAGAACGAGAAAATTTTTCAGCTTGACTGCAAAAGAACGAGCATGTATCATGGCGAAAGGATTATTATACTCGATAATCTGATGTCGACATCGTTGACTAAACTTTAAAAAAAGAAAAGATGAATGAATTCGAATGAGTTAGAAATAACATGAAAGTATATATGAATTTCATCTACACAATGATTTAATATCTAAATTGAATATATTGAAATTAAAATTGACTTGAAGAGTTCTTCAGAAAATATTTGTGTGATAAAATAAAATGTCTTAGTTTTTTTTCATCAATAGATGTCAGTGGATAATATTAAAATCCTAAAAGAAAAGTAAGTTGTTGATGGCGATGAACAAACAAATGAGATAAAAGTATAATGTCAGTTTAGTTATTCATTATAATCTATAATATGTTGATGTAGTAAACGCCTGGTTTTTTTTTTCCTTTATCTTTTTTTCTAAGTTAAAAACTATTTTTATCTTTGCATACACTGACATTTTTTTTTTAAAACAAAAAGAGAACGGACGGATAGATGAGATTATAATGGATGTATGATATGTTAATTTCACAAGTGAAATGTTGGAAAGAGAATAAGGCGGAATTATGGTCAAAAACACATTGTGAAGTTGATTGGAGGTAATATCAATTCATTTTTGAGTCGCTTATTTGGATGAATAAATCGAAATAGAATCTTTCAGAATATAGAAATAATTATTCTCTATTAAATCCAAGAATAGTTTGCTTTCTAATCTGATAAATGTCCTGCAAGAAATAAAAAAGAACAAATCTGATCTGTTATAATCGATGTTTCTGTTTATTGTCAATGTCATAAGTAGTTAAATGAAGAAACGAAAAAGAAAAGTAGAGCGATTGTCAAGTTCATTAGTTTGATGTATTTCTCTTTAGATTATATATCTCGTCATGTTTCACAGATTAGTTAGACAAAATTTTTTTCTATTAATATAAACAAATATTAATTATGGCACAACAACAGCAAATTAATGGAAATGGTGCGGCAGATTTAAGTTTAGATGATTCAAAAAAACAAGGAACACGGTAAAAATTTTAATCATTTTATTTGTCTGAAAAGAAAATAACTTTTTTTTTCAAACGAAATTAAGAGATTCTTTATAAAGAGAATTACCATTTACAAATAGATATTGTCGACCTTATACGACAGATTAGAACTTCTTATCATTAAACTAAAACATTTGCCATTTACTTTTCATCGAGTAATTGCGTTTTTCTTTTTTTGATTCGTAAAGTTTACTAATTTTGTTTGATAAAATCTCATTTTTTTTTAATTCTGTTTTTATATATTAACTTAAATATCCGTTTTTGACGTATGAAACGATATAGGAAATAGATTTCTGTTGTTGATGATAATGATAGCTTGTTTTTAAAGAGTTAATTCAAATTCATTTCACTTCCTTATGTTCTTCATGGCCTTTTTCTATTTTGCACTTTTTCTTTGTTATATAGTTCAACAAGTGTTTACTATAATCAAATATAAAATCATACAAAGAAAAAAAAACATTTCCACATAAATATATTTATTGTTAAGCCATAATTACAAATAGATTTCACTATGGATTTAATCAATTTGGTTACTTTACAAAGAAAAAAAAAATTTTCTTCCGCAAAATGATATGTTGAAAATAACCATAGATTTATAGAGAACTGCTTTTTTCCTATTCTTCTTCCTAGTAGAGTTTTTTAATTATCGCAGACTTTACGTTAGTGGCATCTTCTTTTCTCTTCCTTCCAAAAAAAAAAATGTTCTTCTGTCTTCTATTACTACTATTCTATTACTCGTCTAAAAAAAACCTTCAATGAAATAGAAGAATAAGAGAAAAGAATGTTCACGAGTTCTTAGAAATAGAAAAAAGAAAGCAAACGACGCCAAGTCAATATGAGTAATAACGCATGGATACATTATCTTAGTGACTATAGAGAATAATAATGAAACGAGCAAAATGATGGAAATGCGTATATGATTAATTATTGTTCGATTTATTTGTTTTTATCGCATCTAATTATGCTGAACAATTAATATATTTCCTATATGATATCTTATGAAACCGTAAGTTGAAAATAATATAAATCTATAAGTTTATTTCATTTTTATTGGAATTCATTCAAATAGAAAATTCATAGTTTGACAAGTGTAAAATCTTGTTTTTTTTCTTATCAAATTTGTGTGGCTTTTTTCCAGAATTGTTATGTTTATTTGTGAAATATTAATGAAATGAGAATGATGGTGTGACCACAGTATTATATCAATACAAAGAAGAAGAAAAAAACCAAAATAGATGAATCTATTCTTTCCTGAGACTATCCATGCTATGCAGATTTATATAGATAGAGGGAGAGAAAGAGATTGAATAATGATAGGCGTCAAATTCTGTTTTTGTTTCGTCATTTTCTAAACACGCATAAAAGCGGAAGTCGAAGCAAAGTGCTATAAAAATAGTGAATGCAATATTTGTTTTTTCCTTTCAACAATGAACATGAATGTTCACTAAAATATTAATAATGAAATTGAAAAAAACAAGAAGATCTTATCTGTTTTTTTTCCTAAATGTTTTTTTTCGTTAAATTATTGAGACATAGAAGAATCAATATATTCATATGACGTCATATCACTTTCATCCGGAAAATGCAGAATTCTTTTCTTTCTCTTGTTGTGTCTTATACCAAGTTGCTAGTAGTGTATTCTTACGACAATGTCTTTTCAATTTGTTCGCTTAGATAGAAAAAGACATATACTACATATAAAGAATTGTTTCTTATGTGAAGGCCAATAGTTTTTTTTTTGCTTCACTATCAACAGATGGATGATAGTTTTTTGTCGTTGATTCCCTATCAATAATTATTAGTTAAAGGACACATTTCTTTCATTATATATTTAGTAACTAAGAATATAGGTTTTGTTTTCCTTTTCTCATTTTTTTCTACAAATAATGTGTAATGTAACACCAGTGTAAGTAAAATAGAAAATAGATTATCTAATGACATTTATTTATTTTATTTAGAGTCTTCAAGAAAAGTAGTCCTAATTCAAAGGTAATTTTAAATTAAATTAATTTAATTTAATTCTTTTTATTTTCTTTTTTCTTTTGTTTTTTTTTTATTAGATTACATGTTATCTGGGAAAAAGAGATTTTATCGATTATATGGATCATATAGATCCAATTGGTAGATATTCAAATTTTTAAAAATTTCTTTCATTTTTTTTTAATAAAATTTTTTGTTTAGATGGAGTTGTTCTAATCGATCCTGAATATGTTAAAGATCGTAAAGTATATGCATGTGTATTAGCAGGTATAATATAATTATTATTTATTGATAAATAAATAAATAAATAAATAAATAAAATATTTTTAATAGCATTTCGATATGGTCGAGAAGATCTTGATGTACTTGGTTTAACATTTCGAAAAGATTTATTTTGTTCAACTCAACAAATTTTTCCTCCTATTGATGATCAAAAAAAAACCTTTAACTTATTTACAACAACGTCTTTTAAGAAAATTAGGACCAAATGCATATCCATTTTATTTTGAAGTAAATCTTCGTTTGTTTGTTTTTTTATTTTTAATAATAGAAAAAGTAAAATGAATAAATAAATATATTAGATTCCTCAAAATGCTCCAGCTTCAGTAACACTACAACCAGCTGTTGGTGACACGGGAAAACCATGTGGTGTTGATTATGAATTAAAAACTTATGTAGCAGAAGCTAATGAAGATAAATCACATAAACGAAGTTCTGTTCGATTAGCAATTAGAAAATTAACTTATGCACCAGAAATTCCAGCACCACAACCGGTTATTGAAGCACATAAAGATTTTATGATGTCACCTGCACCGTTACATTTAGAATGTACACTTGATAAAGAGGTTGGTTTTTTGTTAATTAAATTCTTTTTTCTTGTTTTTATTATTGTTTGATTATATTTAGATGTATTATCATGGTGAAAGTATCAATGTTAATGTCGTTGTTACAAATAATTCGAATAAAACTTTACGAAAAATTCGTATTTCTGGTATGTAGAATTTTATTTAAATTTTCATTGAAGTATTTTTTTTTAAAAAAAAAAGTACTTTTTTAATTAAAAAAAACCAAATATATATATATTCTAATATAATCGTTAACTGTGTAGTTGTACAAAATGCAGAAATCTGCTTGTACTCATCAACACAGTACAAATGTGATGTAGCTGTACTTGAATCGAGGTAAATTAAAAAAAAAAAAAGTCGCTCGGTATTGATTTTCTTGTATTTACTTATTGCTTATAAAATAAATGTTCTTGTTGTTGTATTAAATGTTGTATGCTTTAAATATTATATTCTAGTAAAACAATATGCAGAAATATGTATGTTTACCAATGCTCATTACAAATGTACTGTTGCTGAATTGGAAACTGAGTATGCTTCATGCTTATTCATAAAGCTTTTGTTTTTGTTTTTTATGCACAAAAATTTTTTTTTTAAATAAAACAAATTGATTTTTTTTTTCTATTGTTTTACTTTTTTAGTGAAGGTTTTCCAATAACTCCATGTTCAAATTTAACAAAAGTTTATTCATTAATACCACTTCTAGCAAATAATAAAGATAAAAGAGGTTTAGCATTAGATGGAAAATTAAAACATGAAGATACAAATTTAGCTTCATCGACTATGTAAGTTTTTTATTTTAATTAAAAATAAAAATATTTTATTTTAAAATAGAATACGAAATAATACACCAAAAGAAAATCTTGGAATAATCGTGCAATATAAAGTTAAAGTTAAAATAATTGTTGCTATGGGAGGGTAAATTTATTTCATTTTGATTTGCAAAAAAAAAACATTTTTTTTTTTTTATTCAATAGAGATTTAGCAGTTGAATTACCATTTACATTAACTCATCCAAAACCTCCTCCAACCTCTTCACTATCTCAACAACTTGATCAACAAAATTTTGATGATCAACAACCAATTGATGTACCTGTTGATCATAATTTAATTCAACTTGACACTAAGTTTGAAGAGTTTTTTGTTTTTATTATTAATAAAAATAATTTTTTTTTGTTTTTGTTTTTGTTTAGTTTTGGTAATACTGCTCATGATGATGATTTTATTTTTGAAGAATTTGCTCGAATACGTCTTAAAGGACATGAAGGTGGTCTTGATGATACTGAAGCTTAAATATTTGACTTTTTTTCTTTTGTTCATATTTTTAACAATGCGAATCAGCGTGATTTTTGTCTTTGTTTATTATTCATTATTATTATTTTTTTTTTGTCTTTGTATATACATATTGTTGTTGAATGTATCTATCTTCGTCATTATAAAAACATAAGAAAAGAAAAACAAAAATATAAACACTCCTTGTTATAATGACAAACAAAAATCGATTAATTTATTTCTAGAAGTATATTGTCCTTTAATTACCTTTTCTAGATAAAGTAAAATATACTTTTATATCAATTTAATATTTTAAGAAAATTATTGATGATTAATAACAAGATATAACTCATATATAATGATGATTAATTACTTTTCTTGCTGAAAAACAAATAGCATAATTCCTCTGGGATGAAAATGTGAAACACGATGTAGTTGCTCGTAATAATCACAAAGAGAATTGTTTTATGCTATCTATTCTCGGATACATTTCTTCTCCATCCTTTTACTTAATCTTTCACAAATCCAATAAGCTACTTGAGAAAAATGGTTATTGCAGCAATAAAAAGCGACTGGTATAGAAGAGTCTCTTGACATCCATAAAAGAGAATGAGACAACATATCTGATTGTATAGTAACAAGATGTAAGCAAATGATAAAAATTATTCGAAAAAAAAAAGAATATTATGATGAATCAATAAATGATTAATTATATCTACATTTACTATCTAGAAAAAATACGAACGTTTTATAGATAACGAACTATTTTCAAAGCACATACTGAATATCAATGAGTTTATCTATTATTTCTTATTTGATATTTATCGATGATTAAGTCTCTGTTGATCGTTTACATTAAAGTTAATTATAAATATCTTTGTTTAAATAATGTTATTATAAACGTTGATAAAATAATTTTATTGAATAAAATAGAAAATGTTAATTTGAGGTAAAAAAACACCTGAAAGTTATTCTAAAGTTGAATCAGTGCTCATTTTTAATCATAAATATAATATCAAACAGAAAAAAAGGAATTTTTTTAAAATAAAAATATTAATTATATGCAATATCTGGCTTCAATCTAATTTCAATTTATTCGTCATAGTTACATCAACATTTATTTTCTCTCGACTTCTCAATAGTTTTATTGGAGTCGAATCCATATTATTGTTTTTTTTTTAATCTCAACCATTGTTTAAAACGAATGTAGAATCTATTTTTTTTTAAAAATAGATTTATGCATTTTGCTGAAAGATATACTCGAATTATTGTAATGTTATTTTTCTAGGGACTTGAATAGCTTTTTGCAACGTAATTAATTCGATGATGTTCTTATAAACAAACAACAATAAGAAAATTCTCGAACTATTTTCTGACATCGAATCGAAAAAAAAGAAGTCTTTAACAAATAGAATTCAAATTTATATACGGGATTGATGAAATTTATCTATACGAATGAAAAAAAATTTTCTTAAACATGCCTTCATAAATGACGATAATTAAAAACAGAAATTTTGAAATTTTATTCAATCTATACATAAGATCAGTAACACTAATAAAAGAGCCTCTTAAACCTAACCAATCAATATGAATGATCATATATAATTTTGATTTTTTCAAAAACAATTCAATTCTTTTCACATTTTGTATCAGTTTAGTTAACTTATATTCAATAAAATTGTCTGAAATGATGCACTTATCTTACAACTACTATGACAATTATACAATCAATCAACATGACGTCTATGAATACAAGAGATTCTTCAAAAATCTATTACTTTTCTATAAAAGAAATAGCTTTGATCTGAAGATCCACTTCAAGAGATAATAACGAATTTGGTCTATCTATCCATGAAAAAGATTTTTTCAAGATAATATACCAATCGTTGAAATATTACGTTGTTTTAGAATTTACGTATGAGTGGAACGAAGAGAAGGGATTATTGCAAGGAACATTCACAAAAAACATTTCATCAATAGATATAACAATAAGATTTTGATAAATAAATTACATAAATTTCAAGAGAGGATGAATTGATTTTGTTATTCTATGAAGAAAATGTCAAAAAATGATAACTCATTTATGAGAGACTTGAAAATTCTTTCTGACATCTTGTTTCAGTTACAAGTCTTGATGCTTATGGTTATTGAATAATCACGTATTTGAGGATGCATTTGTTTTGTCTAAATCAAGTAAGAAAACAATCATTTTCTTGCCTTTTATATTATTTAACATATTCCTGATCAAACGCTTAATAATTATTGCTTTCAACAAATTTTCATTCATGTTATTAATCAAATAGATTGCTTTAATAATGTTGATTATATACATTTATTGATGTCAGATCAACTATTCTCGAAGAATAAACTAATAAGAATAATTCAAATACAAATTGAAATACCTAAAATGATATTTTTGTTTTAGATTGATATGAAGAAAAGCTAATTTCAAAGAATTATTTTTATTTTATAAAGATAAAAATAATATCATATTGATCGTTTTCTAAATTTCTTTAATCTATAATGAAGATATCTTAAATGAATTAATCTGATAATAAACAAAAAACATTATTTTACATTTTATCTTTCAATATTTTTGAAAGTTTAGTTCAATTCTTATGTCTATTGTTTCGAATATATTCGTATAAAACTATCTTCTATTAAATAACGAGAGTTAACTTTTCAAATGACATTTAAATCGAAGAAATCTTTAATGAATTTTCTTTTCATATAAAAATCTAAAAATTCTATTTTAAGTAGATAATAGAATTTAAATGTTTATATCTATTTGGAAATTATTTAATTCATAGTTGAAAACTCGATGAAAGATCAATTTACCGAATCATTTATATTCTCTTTCATTAATTTTTGATCTACATTATACAAATGTAGGGCAAGAAAATGAGAATAACAATGTTTTTTTCATTTATTGACAAGCATGATAAATGCTTTTTCTCAATCAAAATATTTTTATCACCATTCACATTTTAATTAAGCAGAACTCTCCTAAAAGCTTTTCTTTATTACAAAAGAAAAACACAAGATCAATATTAACCAATATATTGCACTTTAGAACAAAAAAACATATTGATTTTTCTAAACATATAGACTTGAATATATTAATAGATTGATTTCATTAGTATTTTCTAATATTTTTCTTTCCATTTACCATAACTATACGACAAATAATTTTGATTTATGTCGATCATTAAATGCGAATAAATACAGAAAATGTAATTATCTTATATGTTTGAAAAAAGACTTTAATAAAAATGAAAAGAAACAGTTATCTTTTTTTTATTGAATATTATTCTTCTCCAAACATTAAAATAGAACTTAAAATGTCCAAGATTATTTTATATATTTTCTATAAGTATAAAATAAGAAAACATGACTACAATTCAAAACTACAAAATGAAGGAAATGTAATTATCATATGTCAAATGTATTCTACTAATGAGACATCATCTAAAGATAAACGTCATAGACGACTATTCGAAATAATAATCTAATATTTTGCGTCTTATATATTTAGATTGAACTAATTATTTTTAAACAAAAATAATTCATCTTATCAAACTATCATTGGTATAATAATCAAATCAAATAATATAATCAAATTTATTAAATAATCTATTGAAATAGAAGCATTTATTATGATGATAAACAAAAATAATTTGCATAATTTTCCTTATCAATAGAAAAACTATCAAGAGAACACATTTAATTATTTATTAATTTGTCTCTTAAGATAAAAACTCTTTTATTTTCTTTTTATTATTTTCTATTTTTGGAATAAAAAATAAAAATTATTTTTTGTTTTTATAAATATGAATTCTTTAAATTCGAACACTTTTCATCTTCAACTAAGAAAATAATCAAATTTTCTTCTGTAGATTCACATTAAAACTATATTCAAGAGAATTATTTATATTTTAAATATCAATTACATTATTACATATAACTTTTTCTTTTTATTCAATTAACAAAAAACATTCTTCTACATTTTCGCATTTCATCAATTTCTTTTTTTTTTGAGTTTATAACACTATCTGTTCCAAAGTATAATGTGCTACATTGTTTTTTGAATAACTTTTCATAGGAACATCATAGAGACTTGCATTTTTTCATCATTCAACAACGAAGATCCGAGGTTATCGGACTATATCGAAATTAGATTAGTCAGAAATTGACCAATCAGATGAGTTTTTTATGGAGATTTTCCGAGACAATATTCTGAAGTTAGTCTCACTTCGATTTAGAATTTTAATAGAATTAATCGATAGAAAAAATTCTACTGTTTTGATTTACGCAAGGCTGACATTCCTAGCTTGTTCTGTTCGAGAGTTATAAGAATTTTCTTGAGAGATCCAATTAGTTGAAATCAGGGGTTTCAAGAGAAGTCTTATAACTCCTAAATGAAACAACCTAGAAATGTCGACCTCCTGTAAGTCAAAAGAGGACGAATCTTTTCTATTGATTAGTTCTATTAAAAGTTTAAATCGAAAGTAAAAATAGCTTGAGACTATCATTTTCGAAATTCTTTATTAAGAGGTCTCCTATAGATCAATTGCTGATCAATCAAATTTGAATGTTCCGGTTCTTTTCTCTCGAATGATAAAAATTGCAGATCTCTATGATGTTCCTATCAAAATTTATTCAAAAAAATAGTGAAGTAAATTACGTATTGAAATGGATAATAATTCGAAAACATCTTTTTTGAAAATTTCTAGAATGACGCAGATAATAAAAGTTAAGAGTTTATGTTGGTACGAGTTTCATTATGTCAAAGATTTCATCAATCATATTCTACGAAAAATATGACTATTGGTTTATCGAATATGATTGCAACTCAAGAAATTTGAATATCGAGAAAAATAAAAATTTTAATTTTGGATAACATCAATAATTGACGACAGTGTAGAAATAAGTCTGCTTCCATGTGAAAATACTTTCAAGATTTTTGATATAGTGACACTGATTTCAAACAATTTATATATTTTGACAAATTTTGAAATTTT